TCTTTCTAGGGACTTGGAAAGACTTTACAAACCATCTCATTATTGGGGTATCTGCACGAGTTCAGAGGGATCACTGGCCCTCATATGGTAGTTGCCCCTAAATCCACACTTGGAAATTGGATGAATGAAATTCGTCGGTTTTGTCCAATCTTACGTCCTATCAAGTTCCTTGGGAACCCTGAAGAAAGGGTACGTAAGCTAGAATTTACCACTCAATTTTGTGAAGGCATGCATGTGGGATCATCTCTCTTATAAACTATTTCACCACTTCAATTATTGCTGCAGAGACATATCCGAGAGGATTTACTTGTTGCTGGAAAGTTTGATGTATGTGTCACAAGCTTTGAGATGGCCATTAAAGAGAAGAGTGCTCTGAGGCGCTTCAGCTGGCGCTACATAATTATCGACGAAGCTCATCGAATAAAGAATGAGAATTCCCTTCTTTCAAAGACAATGAGGCTATATAATACCAATTACCGTTTGCTCATCACTGGCACTCCTCTTCAGGTGTGTAGTCAAGTCATTGACAGCGTGTTTAGTTATTCATTTTTTTTTAATGTTAAGCAGCTATGTTGATTTCTGCTTAGTCCCAATATATTAGCCTGACAAACTCCTTTTCTTTTCCTCTTGTTTCTACTATCTGATGTAATTATTATTTTTTTCTGCTTGAATTAATATGACGTTTGTTTTAATACAGAACAATCTTCATGAACTATGGGCTCTACTCAACTTCTTACTACCAGAGATTTTTAGCTCAGCTGAAACATTTGACGAGTGGTTCCAAATATCTGGCGAGAATGACCAGCAGGAGGTTGTGCAGCAACTGCATAAGGTATGCACATTTCCATTTTTACGGTTGAGTGCTAAATCTATCCATCCATGCAGCTAACTCTTGACTCTGCTCCACTTTCAAGGTCCTTCGCCCTTTTCTCCTTAGAAGATTGAAGTCTGATGTTGAGAAAGGTCTACCTCCTAAGAAGGAGACGATATTGAAAGTAGGCATGTCGCAGATGCAGAAGCAATACTATAAAGCATTGCTACAGAAAGATCTAGAAGTTGTTAATGCTGGAGGAGAACGTAAACGTCTTCTCAACATAGCCATGCAGCTGCGTAAGTGCTGTAATCATCCATATCTTTTCCAGGGTGCTGAACCTGGTCCGCCTTACACCACTGGGGATCACCTTGTAGAAAATGCTGGTGAGTTCACCTTATCAGTGTCTGGATATACCTATCATTCTTCTGCTGTCATTAAGCTGGTTATTTATCTGCTGTTTGCTTTTGTTAGGCAAGATGGTTCTCCTTGACAAGTTACTTCCTAAATTAAAAGAGAGAGATTCACGAGTTCTGATATTCTCCCAGGTCAGTTGCAAATACAACTATGAAATACAGTGGTTTCATACAACTATGAAATACGGTAGTTGTTATGTTCATTATTGTGGACATTTAATAATTTGATTTAATGTTGTTTATACCTTGTGTAGATGACAAGGTTGCTTGACATTCTAGAGGACTATCTCATGTATCGTGGGCATCTATACTGCCGTATTGATGGTAATACTGGCGGAGAAGATCGTGATGCTTCCATTGAAGCCTTCAACAAACCGGGAAGTGAGAAATTTGTGTTCTTGCTTTCAACCAGAGCTGGAGGACTTGGTATTAATCTTGCTACTGCAGATGTTGTCATTCTGTATGATAGTGACTGGTGGGTCCTTTTGCCATTCGTACCAGGTGATTACTTTTCATTGTGTATGTTATTGATTTATATCATTTTATTTCAGGAATCCACAAGTTGATTTGCAAGCACAAGATCGTGCTCATAGGATAGGTCAAAAGAAGGAAGTTCAAGTGTTTCGGTTCTGCACAGAGGTCGGGGATTCATTTAGTGATGTTATGTTATTTCTATATTGTAATGGTTGTTTATGATTGAATTCGATTTTGAAACAGTATACCATTGAGGAGAAGGTCATTGAAAGAGCTTACAAGAAGCTTGCACTTGATGCTCTGGTCATTCAACAAGGAAGGCTGGCAGAGCAGAAAGGTGGGGGACATTTCTGTTTTAACTATATGTAACTCTTAATCTTTCCAAAATTTACATTCACTGGAATCTGGTGGATTCTGTATGCAGCTGTCAACAAGGATGAGCTGCTTCAAATGGTGAGGTTTGGTGCTGAAATGGTTTTCAGCTCAAAGGATAGTACAATCACAGATGAGGACATTGACAGAATCATTGCTAAAGGAGAAGAAGCAACAGCTGAGCTTGATGCTAAGATGAAGAAATTCACTGAGGATGCTATCAAATTCAAGATGGATGACAGTATGTTCATAAATGAAATTGATTTTTGCTAGTGTCGTCCATTTTCTACTGCATAACGGCTGACCGTATCTTTGTTGCTTATGACAGCTGCTGAATTATATGATTTTGATGATGACAAGGTACATGCATCTTTTTTTTCCTGATGATTAAAAGTGGGAGTGATAAATGTTTTTTATTTGAAATTTCTGACTCTCTTTCTTGTCTCATTTTTTTCTTTAATGAAGGATGAGAACAAGGTTGACTTCAAGAAAATTGTCAGTGACAACTGGATAGAACCCCCAAAGAGAGAGCGGAAGCGCAAGTACTGACCTTCTCTCTTTGACACTTCCCATCTTCTGCTGTATCTGAGTGGTCTAGGATGTGATTTTTCTGACGTCCTTTTCTGTTTAATCAGTTACTCGGAATCTGAATACTTCAAGCAAACAATGCGCCAAGGTGCTCCGGCCAAACCAAAGGAGCCCCGTATTCCTCGCATGCCACAATTGTAAGCTCATGTTGCCTGCTCTCTTAGTGCACGTCTTTTGAATTGTGTGCTCTCTGTTTTACTGGTTTTCATTTCCCCTTTTCAGGCATGATTTCCAGTTTTTCAACACACAGAGGTTGAACGAGCTGTATGAAAAAGAAGTGCGCTATCTCATGGTGGGTATTACCTCTGTTCATTTAGTTTCGTTGCTATATTTTCTTTTTTCTTGAAGCCTTCTGGTTTTCATATGTTAATCTTTGCCCCTGGTTGACTTGCCAGCAAACTCATCAAAAGAATCAGTTGAAAGACACAATTGAGGTGGATGAACCTGAAGGTATGTGCTTTGATGCTTGTTAAACTATTCTTTGTTATTCTTTCTGGACTTGTGTTCAGTTCTCATTTAGTGTACATTTTTTGTTGGATGATGGTCAGATGTCGGGGAACCCTTGACTGCCGAAGAGCTAGAAGAGAAGGAGAAGCTGTTGGAAGAGGTTGGTAGACTTGTTCTGTAGTGAAGCTCTAATTTTGTGCCCTTTTACTTACATTGAAGTTGTAAACCAGGGATTTTCTTCATGGAGTAGAAGGGACTTCAATACCTTCATTAGGGCTTGCGAGAAGTATGGAAGAAATGACATCAAAAGCATTGCTTATGAAATGGAAGGCAAAACGGAGGAAGAAGTTGAAAGATATGCAAAAGCTTTCAAGGACAGATACAAAGAATTGAATGGTACCCTTATTCAGACCGAATACCCTCTTATTTTATGCAATATTTGATACAAAGGATGCCTCTCAGTCTCTGTATTCCTTGAATTTGTACAGAGTTGAAAGTTAGTGTACTGAAGTCAACCTTCATCTTTGGAATATGGATGTATGTGCAGATTATGACAGAATCATCAAGAACATTGAAAGAGGAGAGGCCAGAATTTCTCGTAAAGACGAGATTATGAAAGCTATTGGAAAGAAATTGGATCGCTACAAGAACCCATGGCTCGAGTTGAAAATCCAGTATGGTCAAAACAAAGGGAAGCTATACAATGAAGAATGTGATCGTTTCATGGTAAGTATTTCTCTTACCCTTTTGCTTCTTCAGTCCAGTGTTTCTGTCGTCGTTACTAAATACTGAGCTCATACTGATGTTTGTTCTACAACCCTCAACAGATATGCATGGTTCACAAGCTTGGATATGGGAATTGGGACGAGCTGAAGGCAGCATTCCGTACCTCACCTCTGTTTCGGTTCGACTGGTTTGTCAAGTCTCGAACGACTCAGGAACTCGCTAGGAGATGTGATACCCTAATCCGGTTGGTGGAGAAGGAAAATCAAGAATATGACGAGAGGGAAAGGCAGGCTCGTAAAGAAAAGAAGCTTGCTAAGGTTCTTTCTCTTAAATCTTCTTTCGTTCATCAAATCCACTGCTCCTTCGTGCTGACGTTTTTCCTGTATTGTCTACTTGCAGCAGAGCATGACACCATCTAAGCGTGGTGGTGGTGGTGGTAGGCAAACTGAGAGCCCCAGTTCCCTCAACAAACGCAAACAACTCTCCATGGATGATTACTTGACCTCTGTAAGCTTCTCATCCCTCCACTCCACCTTGGTACGAGATTCGGATACCTAGATATGAGATTCGAATGAGAGATAATAGACAGGGAGTATCCGGTGTCTGATAAAATTGATAAAACTGTTTGGATGCAGGGGAAGAGGAGGAAGTAGTGAAAACAAGACTCATTGCTCCGCTGTAGGCTGGGCGCTTTCTGCGAGGAGCAGCCATAGTTGGATGAAGTTTCACCATGCAGATCTTTTAGAATGTACAAATATAGGAAGCTGACTCTCTGGATGAGTAAGAGTATCCTCATGTTGTTGAGGTCATTATGAGTCCCTGTATTCCTTATGTAACTCATCAGGCCATTCGTAATCTGCGCCTGCTTCTAAACATGAACTTAGGCGTCGTAATCACGATTATGATCGTATGTTTTGGGTCGGGACTTCTATCTGTAATCCTTAACATTTATGGATTAACTTCAAATTGTTATCATTTAGGAATTGGGATTGCAATTTATAGACAACGCTGTCCTTTATAGCAACTATGCATCATTCACGTATTCTACTCCCCATTTCTTCCCATCCACGATGAAATGCGAAATGGGATAGAATTCTGCCTGGATTCGATGTTGGTTGACAACGTTCCCTGATGTGGCTCGACGAACTTCTCTGCAAGTGTTGTCAGTGTTTGATTTCTGGGATTTTGAAAGGATTACAGTTACGATTATCCGCCATGAATGGAGCTTCACCTTCGCTGACATGGATCGACAGACTTCTCTGCAAGTGTCGTAGGTGTTAACTCATCCTACTGGAGTTCCCATTGTTCTTGATCTCATTGGCATTTCCATTACCAAAAAACCGAAAAGGAAGAACAAAGGAGACAGAAAGGAAGAAGCCCCTAAATACACAAACGATCACAAATACATACATCACATATTCTACAACTAACTGGATACGTGTTTCTCCCCTTTTTCCAACAATGCTCTGAACCTCATCAACCACCTACAATGGATCACTTCCTCAGACCTCGCCTTCTCTTTCTATCGCTCTTCGTATCCATCTTTGCCTTCAATCACAAGAAATCGAAGCATTCACGGCCTTTGGTTTTCATTCTCTCAACAAACGACTACTACTAGAACCCAATTACAACATCATCATCATCAGTCAAAAGTTGGATACAAAGACTGACCACTCTCCTCCTTCACTTTACCTCGACCGACACTGACTCCATACGAGGATGGTTCACCAGCCCCTCTGCTCGCCCTGTGAATCTTTTCACAGCAAGGATTAGCAACCTTTCAGCATCTTTTCCATCCCTCCTGTGCAAAATCTTGCATCAGTGTGTAATTCCCACTTCCTTCACTCGTTATTACTATTACTGCCATCGAAGCTACCCCCCACAGCATTCGCCCGCTTCTTTTCCCTCCAGTTCTCCCCCCAGACCTTTGCCTCAGCCACCGCTCTCTCCCTATCCAAATCCCGGTTCCTCGAACCCTCCCTCATTCTGCTGCCACCGTTCACTGGAGTGTCCCTCCGGGAGTCCTGCCGCTCCAACTCATCCACGCCCCATCTCCTCCCGGACCCTCCACCACTGCCAGATTCACCCCATCCCACCTCTGGACCTGTCCCCAACTCCCTGTGGCGGTCTCTTTTCCTGTAGTCGGGGGAATTCTTGTGCACAGATGGGGACCCAACCCGACCATCCGGGCTGTCAGTCCCGTCTTCCCTGATCCTCGGTGTAGATGCTCCCATTCGGTTACTATGGCTCGTTGGGCCGCTTGGGTCGTAGGTTTGGGAAGCTAGATATGTCAAAGCAGTCACCACATCCCCTATCAGTGGCCTTGTAGCAGCTTGCTCTTGCAAGCACATTGCTGAGACTGCCAGCGCTTGGTAGAGTCCTCGCATTGGATACCGTCCTTGGAGTAAGGGATCTGCCATCTTCGGGAACTTCCTCCGATCCTTGAAAAGCGGCCTCGCCTAAGAAATAAAACCCCCCAGCAAGTAATGAAGTCAATGGAAATTTAGACGTTTTGAGTATGCTATTATAAGTAATTGGAAAGGACGAACTTTACCCATGCAACGAGATTGTGTTCTCCAGGGGCTCTTGCGTTGTCGATTGCCTTGCGCCCGGTGATGAGCTCGAGAAACACGACTCCAAAGCTGTAAACGTCGGATTTCAACGTGAGCTGTCCAGTCATGGCGTATTCAGGAGCACAGTAACCATAAGTCCCCATGACACGAGTGGAGACGTGTGTCTTGTCACCCACGGGGCCCAGCTTTGCCAGTCCAAAATCTGATAACTTCGGGTGGAACCCCTCGTCGAGGAGGATGTTTGAAGATTTTAAGTCTCGGTAGATGACTGGAGGGTTGGCTTTGTCATGCAGGTACTCCAACCCTTTGGCTGCACCTGCTGCTATCTTCATTCTCGTGTTCCAGTCCAAGGGTTCTTTGTCTGGTGGAAGGTCTGAAATAATAAAAATAGAAATCCCGGGTTAGTTTGTTTGCTCGCAAACGGCATCATTTACTGCAATGTCTGCAATATGATCCACACAGTAGACACTAAAGAACGGTGCTACGATCTGGCATAGTTTTTTTCAGTCTCTACTTCAACTAACATAGCAACAAATCTCAACCTAGCAAATTCAGCAGACTCTAATCGGACTCCGAATTTACACAGAATCACATTGGCACTAAGGTAAGTCTTCTAGTCGATCAAACAGAGAATCATTATGTGGCAAATCAATATACTTTGTAAACCTAGACTCTCAATTTTTCCAATGGGTCCAGCCATAAGCATGAACAGCTACATATCAAATCAGAAAGAGGGCGTTATGAGCTAGTACTGACATATGTCGACAACTAATCTACCTGCTAAAAAACCCATAAGAATTGGACTGATAGAAGGAAGAACGAGGGAAAAACTTGGTACAGTAAGTTAAAACTAAAAAAAGTTCAACTCTTGACATGAAACTCTACTCTAATGATGTACCGTAATGACTAGAGAAGAGTGAACATGATTCAACGAATATAAAGAAGAAAGAATTCTAACCGTGTAGATGATCTTCCAATGAACCCAAGGGCATGTATTCGTAAACAAGAAGCCGTTGATCCCCATCAGCACAATAACCGATTAAGTTAACAAGATTTGGGTGGTGAAGGAGACTAAGCATAAGAACTTCAACCAAAAATTCCCTATTTCCTTGAAGCCCATTACGGTCAAGTTGTTTCACTGCTACTACCTGCAGCAAGCAGTAATTGAGAAACAAGATACGAAAAAATTATCAGACAAACAGCATTCCTAGGGGAACCAAACATGCAGGCTGCAGCAACCATAAGATAAAAAGCAAACTCTCACCTGTCCACTGCTTTCCATCCGGCCTTTGTACACCCGCCCAAACCCACCTTCTCCCAACAAACACTCAGGTCTAAAGTTCTTGGTGGCAGCAGCCAGCTCACGGAATGTGAACGTTTGAGCTGCAATATGAGCTGTCGAACCATCTTTCGGAATTGTTGACTCTTTCTTAGACTCGGAACCACCCCGAGATTTTGATTTGTCTACATGAAACACAATTCCTTTGTAACGAAGACACAAGAAACCAATCGAAAGGAAACCATTTTGCCACATTGTAAAAGAACAACAAGGTGCCAGAAGCATGAACATGAAGAATACTGTAACCATTATACTTCTTTAACATCCGGCATTTCTTGGAAAACCCTATTGGTCAAATTTCACATTCTTTCACAGACAACCAACACAAGACAAAAAAGTTCTCTCACAGTATATTCTCCATCTGCCGAACACAAACCAAAGCACTTTGTCCAAAATGCAAATGAAACAGCCCCAATTTTTGTCTTGAACAAAACGGTTATAAACCAAAGAGAGAGCCGATAATTGCTAATGAAACACATACCAAGAGGAATCCTTACACAAAATCCAAAAGATTAATACAGAGCAGATCTCCAAAGCAGAATCAAAAGGATTCATTCAAACCAAATCTCAAAAGGATTCATCCAAAAACCCAAAATTCCCTTTCACAAATGAAATCCAGTCGACGAAATCAAATCAAAACGGCCAAAAATTCTGAGGGGAAATCAAGAAATGAACTTCTTTTTGGGTACCTGAGCCGAGCCGACTAACATGGTGAGACTGAGGAGCTGAGCCTTCCTTCGCCAAATCTTTCTTCGCAGCTTCTTTGCCGCCACTTCCAGCTCCACCGCCGCCGCCGCTGCTGCCGTCCTTGTTCGATGATCCGAAACAAGGAAAGCACCCACCCATATCAAATCCGCCCGAATCGAATCCGACCCACCACCACCACCACGAACCCAAATCCACGAAACCCTTTCTTCAATCTTCCCCACTACCACAGAATAACGAACAGCAATCGGAACAATGAAAACCCAAAACAGTAGAAGGAACAGGGTTTCGCTTTGAATTTCAAAGTTGCCGACTTTTTAACAATCAGTAATTGGGAGGAGAAGCAAAAAAGGAGAGCGGAAAAATAAACGAACATAATTCATTCACTATAAAAGTCGCTACTCTCTCAACTTTGCCTTCTGATTGTGCTTTCACTGCTCTCTCTCTCCTCCCACCACTTCCTCTCTCTAGCGTTTTTAGTGGCCATTGCAGCAGAAAAAAAGAAAGATCGAGACCAAGTGGTTAGATCAACAAATCGAAGAAGAAAAGAGAAAAAAAACTGCTGTTGTGGAAGCAAAGCAGGATGGGAAAGACAAAGGCTGGAAAAAAAAAGCAAACCAAAAGGGAGAAAAGTAAGAGATTAGCTCGAGAAAATTGGAAAACAAATGCATTTAATTACAATTAAATCCACCGGTTAAGTAATTAGAGTAAGGAATAATAATAAATAAATAGCAGAAAGGAAATTCTTTAGAACATTTATTACCGCGTAATCCACCAGACATTAGCAAGAAAATAATAATACAATAAACGTCACACTTATTACTTTTTATCCCTCCATTTCTCTTTCTATTTCAATCTTCATTTTGACCGCAATCTTTTTCTGGTATATATCAGTATAAATTGAACAAACGCGGAAACTTTACAAAGATCTAAATAAAAGAAATCCCAAAAATAACTCGGATACCACAGCTTGAGAATTAGAGTAGACATATCACTTAAATTTGAATACGGCGTCGGGTATCATTGAATTTTATTATTGTGCACCCGATACCATTTAAGTTTACTGTTATGTGCATTGCGTTAAAGTTGACAGAATATTCTTGGAACATTCCATTTTCTAAATTTCATAATTGGTCCTTCTAGTTTTCTTATTGTAAAAAATCATTTGGACTTAGGGAAAATATAAATTTTTATTGTTTAATTGGAATCTTCTTTTGGAAACTTGATAGCAAATCAATTTTTTTAATAGAAAATTTAGAATCAATTATCATTATAAATATTTTTAATTATCATTATGTGTTCTTATAATTGAATAATTTTCTGAAACAAATATATCTTATGAATTTTATCTCGATATAAATAATCTGAGAATGTTATATTTAGTTCTCTTACATCACGGTGATGTTGTCGAATCCATATTAAATCTCCTTTTAATTCTCTAATATTATATTGTAGATGTTTCATATTAGTTAAATTTAGTAATTCTAATTCTCTTCCTATAATCATATTTTATTTTCTACATTTTTTATTGAATGTTGTAGCTTTTATAGTTCATTTATTACTTGGTTTCTTTCCGTCTCTTTTCATTCTAAATGTTTTTTCAATTACTGAAATATGTTTTATTCCTTATGATTGTGTTCCATTTATCTTTCTTTTGTTTTGATGATTGATGATCAATTATGTTCTATTTTAACTATTTATAATGGTGCTTCTAATTGAATTAGGGTGTTTAAATAGATATTCTAATATTAATTTTGAATATTTATTATTATATTCTATTGTACTAATTATTTTTCTTAATATTTGTTTAATATTTTTACTAATTTATCTATTTTATGAAAATTTTTGATTAGCCATTTTAGTAATAATATGTTTAGAAGGTTTTTCTAATTTGTATATAGATAAAACTTGTTGAAATATAGTTTTGAATGTTTTTAAAAATTTTGGGTACCAAAAAGTAATTAAAAGTTTGGGTTGGATGGAAAAGTAGACGGATGCACATTTTGTCGACTTTAATGGTACCCGACGCCCTATTCAAACTTAAGTGGTATGTCTGCCCCAATTCTCAAAGTTAAGTGGTACCCAAGATATTTTACCTCTCCCATAAATCACAATAGGTGATGGTTAATATGTGTTTGATATTGGTTCATCCCTAAATATTGAGAAATGTAAGAGTGGATAGTTGATGCAGATTGTGGATCGATAAATCTCTTACTCACACTTATTTGGATGAGTGATGAGTGTATTGCGAGTCACTCGAATGACCTGTATTCTATCTTCATATAACAAAGAGTTGTTTCTTGTTCATACTATTGAATAATCATCATATTTTCTAACCGCACTACGCATTGATCATTTACTCTAAGAAGAAAATAAATATTATTATTCGACTTATTAATATTGATTACTATATATGTTGTGTAATATTCATTATTAGGATGGAACTTATATACTATTAATTATATCAAAATCACAAAAAGTGACAATTTTCTCATCATAATTAGTTGACAGAGTAATGAAAGATTTGATACAATTACTATATAAATCCACATGAGACAAGTTGGGAGTTGTTAAATTGAGTCAGTCTTCCTAATTTGTGAGTATTTTATTATAAATATTACACAATTTACCTAATGCTAGTCGGAAAGTTACTTTTGTGTGTTAACCCACAACACACTGCATCTACTTGCCAACCAACCAAACCGAAGAAGAACGTGGATGGATAAGGAATCACGATCGTATCAACTCGTTAATAAGCAGGTTATTCAATTTAAGACGTACACCGCCAAATGTAATTCACCAATTCCCCACTTCTAGAACCTTATGAATTTTACGTTATGATACGATAACGAAATGTCGAAGAAAAAATATCGTAATAGAAGTCATCCAATTCTATGCTAATGTGTCTTATAATCTTTGCCATTAACCAAAGCAAATAGTTTTATGATTCGTGTCAAGAAGTGAAAATTTTGTACTACCAATCCAATCATTAAAATATTCAATTAATTAAAATTATTTAATTCAAATCTAATTGGATTGGTGAATTCATTGATTGGATTCACGAATTGTTGAAAAATTTCAATTTGTTCCTATATTATTATTTTTATATTTTATATTTTTAAATGAAAATTATTAGTGGAAAATTATATTAGGTACCTAATTTTCTTTTATTATGCCATTTTAGTTTCTAAGTGTTTCAAAATTTTCATACTAGTTTAATGTTTAGATTCCACTTGAATCCACCAATTCATTTTATGAAAATTCACGAATTCAATCCATTTGTCACCTCTAATAGCGCGCCTCAAATTTCGGGTGTAATGTATATAATATTCTCACACTTATAGGTGCAAATTATTACAAAGAATTTGTAGGTATGATTTGTAAAACCCTACATGAGATATCTATAAAGTTGATAAATTATTTATTTTAATAACTTGAAACTTTTTGTCAACTATTTATAAATGATAATGAATTATTAAAACTTTTTGTCAACTATTTATAAATGATAATAATATTTTATTGCATGCACCCAAAATTCGAGATCGTCGGCATCTATGTTCTTAACCTGTTTTTACTAATAATAACTCTATTCCCTCTGTATAGCATTCCCTAATCCCTCATTAATCTCAATTTTAACCATGGATAAAGAAGTGAAATTTTACCATTATCTAGTATTACCATTAACGTACTAATACACTAATAGTAATACTAGAGAAATGTCAATCAAGTAAGTGTTGGTAATCTGTACTTTGACGAAATCGTTCTTAGGGGAGTTGTTAATCTGCTATTTGACCCAATGATGGTTTTTGAATAGTAAGACCATATGACTAATATATATTAATTAAAATGGCCCAAAAGGATTCCTTTTCTATCGATGAGCATGAATTAAGGAGCACAAACCATGGGTACATCATTACTTTTTTTTTTTTTTTTTTGTGTAATGTAAGTAAAGGTTGGACGAGGATGGCTTTGATTAAAAAATAATCAGTGGTAGGGGCTTCTTTTCTCTCGTTTAGCGAGAGCCTGTGAGAGCGGCGGAAACTCTTTTCGGGATAATCCAGTCGATCGGCATAGTGCTATTCGGATTTGAACTATTGGAAGACACTAGCGTAAGGTTTTCCTTGTCCTTCTACAATATTAATAGCTGGTTTTCAGAGATACCCTAATTTTCTGGCCGAGCCGTGGCGAAGACGAAAACTTGTACTTAAGGGCTTCGTTGGCAAGTTTTCTTATGCTGCACAAGATTGGTGGCTGAGTTTTGCAGATCTGAATCACAGAACGATACACACAAATCCCCTGCTTTTGAAAGAGCAAAACAGAGCGAGTCATGGAGACAGGGGAGATTGATCGAGAGCCTGAGCTCCAAAGCACAGCAGAAAGTCTGGAAGTCCAACTGGACAATATCACACTAGAGGATGAAGACGATACGCCTCTGGACGTTGATGACAATGATGTGGACGTCTTCAGAATGGAGGCGGTTCGTCGATTAGGGTTGATTGGCCGCCTTGTAGCTGAAAAAACACCAAACATCAAGTTATTAAAGATCGCTCTGGCAAAAGCATGGAATCTCAAAAAAAACTTCCAGATAACGGAATTGGGAGACATGCTTTTTGCTTTTCAATTTATGGATGAAGATGATAGAGACATGGTATGCTTTGGAGGACCCTGGCATTATGAAAACAATGCCATGGTTTTCATGGCAAGTCTACTGATAAAGAAGCCTACGCCTGAAGCCTTACATATGCTGGATATATGGATTCAGATCAAAGATTTTTTAGCAGAGCTGAGAACGCAAACAATGGTTGAGAAAATAGCCACAGGTTTGGCTCACTCATATGGTTTGATGATAGCCCTAGATCAATGTGGGATACATATATGAGATTGAGGGTGAGCCTCTCTATAAACAACCCTCTTAGAAGGAAAATAAAACTGAATATCAAGGGGCAGTTAATTGAATATATGGTAAAGTATGAAAAGTTACCTATATTATGCTATTCTTGTGGTCGCATTGGGCACCAAAAGTTGAGATTCCCGAAACCATCAGGTCTAAACCCTGATCCTTTTGGGATGGACCTGAGAGCTGGAGCTCCGGGGCCTAAACTCTGGCTATCGCATTCCCTAAAAAAGGAAGATGAAACATTATGGGCATCACTGAGAAAGAAGTTTGACTAGGAAAGCACAGGGTCGAATTCAGATCATGAAATTCCACCCCCTGAGGAAGTAGCAGATAAAAGAGAACATATAGCAGAAGAGATACAAGGAGAAAAGGAGGCTCAACAAAATAATATGGAAGTAGAACCTGTGAAAGAACAAGAACTCATCACAGAAAGGCCAACAGTAGCAAAGAAGGATGGATTCCAACCAATCCACAGTCCTGAGTTAGGACGTCTGGGGATTGGAGGGGCATTACAACAGTTTGTGATGGGGCCAGAACTAATGAAAAATCAACAGCGAAGCAGAAACAAAGTATGGCGCAGGCAGGAGCAGACTAAGAAACGAGTATACATTCCTACACGAATAACTCCCCAAAAGAGAAATAATTAGAATGCTGGGGAGGAAGGAAATACTCAAACAGATCCGGAACTGCAAG